TATATAGACTTCCAAGGGTTCTCAGAGCACAATAACTGACACTTTCCCAAACACCAAGTAAATACCGAGGAAAGGCGTTTGTACGATACACACAGCACAAGGAGATGCAAATGGAGCACGAGTTAATTAACTGAATATGAGAAGCTGCTTGATAAGAGTGGATAATAAGGAGATTACACACGCACTAGCTTGTTTGGAGTTAACCATTCAAATGTTTGGTGTTGTATGGAAAATTTATGTAAACACAAAACCCCGCAGAATTCGAGGTTATGAGAACAGGTTGACATTTCGTCAACAAATCTTGTTGAATTTACCGTTTATCTTTGTCTATCTTATTGTCAGTCGGTATAATTCCATGGTTACCGGAGTTAAATAATTACGAAGCAACAGGTATTTGCGCAATGTTAATTAGCCAGATTACCTTGAAAAACTTTGCTGTCGTATTTCTGATATAGTTTTTTGCGAATTTCTCAGTTTTTAATTACAATTTATTTCTTTTACAATTTTTTCTGTACTCCTATAACAGCGCCAGCCAACACCTCCAGAGGAATGACGCCAATTTTGAATTACCCTGTATGAATAACAAATACGTGATTGATACACGGTAAAATATAAAAGTGTTTCTGACTTAGATTGACTGTGTACTCCGCTGCTGACACTCTCAGACTCATTTTTTTTGTCTTTTTCGTTTGGCCCGCGGCTGCCGAAGGATAAAAATATTCTCGAAGACACCCAGTGTCTTGTAACACTGGGTAGTGTTGGATGGATAAAACTTGCAGTTTTCTGAATAATGGTTCAGCTCTGGTATCCGCATGTCTTTACATCACATTCTCTCCATACTGCCTATCTACTAGTATGGGCATCTTACTAATTTGGCACAAGCACTACACAACACCACTTCTATCGCACTAATTTAACTAACTTTCGCATTTACCATGCTATGCCGCTTGCTGCTTTACCTATTGTCCTGTTGGGCCATCTGGTCCTGAGCCTCTTATTCCTGTGCCCATCATCCTCTGGTGTGTAATTCACGGCGTTCTCTAGCTCAACAAAGGGGTGGTTTTCGGCCTTTTCAATGGTCGGGGCAGCTTTCTGTCGCAGTTTTTCAGTGGCTCCCACTCCAGGTCCCTGCAAGTTTCACTATTACGTACAAACTAAGCAACATCTATGGCCATCCGCAGAAGTTTATTTTCTGTGGCCTGAAGCTGCCTCAGGTAGGTTTTCCGCATACCCCCACTGTGGAGGAATATGTCATTGCCGGCCGGATGACACTCTTGATGAGCAGGAGTTTGTTCCTCACACTCATTTGGCTTCTTCTGTTCAGGAGTGGGTACAGCATTGCTGCTGTAGCCTTTGCCTTGTTGATCGCTATCGTACACATGTGGCCTCCAGGTCAGCCTCGTATCTAAAAAAACACCCAAATACCTGACACTACTTGCCCATTGAACCTCTTCTGCGTCAAGATTGATGTTTCCGACAATGTAACTTTCGATCAACTGGCACATTTTCTCACTATAAATTTTTATAAGTCCCTTTCTCCACACTCTGTCCACACGGCTGTCCTCTTCTGGTTCATTTCCTTGGCGCACCCTTCCACAATCCTGAGCAGTTGAAGTTCAGTGGCGTGTTTACCACGGAACCCAAACTCCTCAGGCGGTAGCACGTCAAGTTCACTCGTTTCCCTCGTAAGGCTCCGCAACATAACTCTTTCCGCTATTTTGCCAAGGCTAGGCAACAGGCTGATGGGCCTGTAGTTCTGAGGGAAAGTCCTGTAAGTGTCCAGTTCTGAAAATGGCATTAATGAGATTTGTGACAGCTACTATTCCTTTTCTCGACAGGCTCTTAAGCATGTTATTGGTAATTCCATCCCTCCCAGGGGCTTTCTTCGTCTCCGAGTTCCTGATGATGGCTGCCACTTCTCCTGGTGAGGTTATGGGGATACAGCTGTCCGCTGACGATTCTCTCGTGCCCGTCTTTTCAATATGGATGGTTGTTTTCCCTGGCCTCGATCTTGATGGTATCTGAAAAAACTTCCGCTTTATTCCTGTTGGTATATACCAAACCTTGCACTCGGTGTAAAGCTGGTATCTTGGTGTCTTCTTGTCTGAGGGCCTTTTTGATTATCCAGATGCTTTGGTCGTCTGGAGAAATCTCTCTAATATTTCAGTGGTCTTTCAGTGCCTCCTTCAAAATCTGTCCCTCTCGGTTTAGGGCGATTCTGTTGGCATCTGTGAGCTGCCTTATGTACATCCTGCGCAGCCTTCTTTGGTTGGTTATTTTTCTGCGAAGGTTTGCTGGTAACTCCTTAAGAGCTACCGGCACCTCCGCAGTCACTCTAACGCAGTCAAATCTAACTGCGATAATTGGCTAAATTTAATTATTTTCTTTTTCTTTCAGGATTTATGCCCAAGGCCGGGATTCATTCAAGACGGGCCTACTAAATTTGACATAAGTCCAGGAAAAATGGGTAAGGATGAAAAAATATGCATAATGGGTAGTTGGGGGAATTTAATAACAAAATTTCAAATAGAAAAAGAATACAATAAAATACAATAGGCAAATAAAAAGGAAGCTCCAATCAACTGAGACTTTAGAACAGATAAACATAAACGAACTAAACACCGAAGTTTCCAACACGATCACAAGGAAGGTATGCGCTCTTAGCACAAAGAAGTACGACAAGCTCAGTGTCAAAACAGCCCAGCTAATAAATGAGCGTCGAGACACACACAGGGACGCACCACGATACAAAACATTGAACAAGCAAGTAAATTCAGCAATACGAAGGCATATACGGGCGAACAATACACGACAGATTCTCGATGCCATCGAACAAAACTTGAACATGAGAGTACTACGATCAAAGAGCGCTAAAGTGAAGATGGTCATCCATAAGATGAAGAACAATCTGGGATAAATAGTTACAGACGAAACAAATATAGTGACTGTGATACAGGATGTCTACCAAACCCTGTACAGCCAGTCAGTCCAGCAGCCAAATCAAATAAAACAAAAACCGATCATCCTGAACGTGGAATCACAGGAAATTCAAGAAATATGTGGTCCTGAGTTTAGAGCAGCACTAAACTCAATGAAAAATTATAAAACACCTGGAGAGAACCGCTGAAACTAATCTCTCAAAGAGGGCAATATTCGAAAGTTACCCTCCCAATTGGCTTGCTAACCATATTATACAAACTGCTGAGGAAGATACTAACAAATCGCCTGAACAGTAAATTTGGCTTCTACCACCCTATAGAGCAGGACGGATTGAGGAAAATATATGGCACAGTCGACCATATCTAAGCGTCCCGCACACTGATAGAGAAATACACCGAATATAGCATGTCTTTGCATGTGGTATTCGATGTCTATTAAAAGAACTTTGACTCCATTGAGATATGGGCAGTGCTGGAAGCTATGAACGGGGTAATAATCGATTCTAGATACTCGGACCTAATCGATCAAATTTATAAAAATGCAACGTTCCAAGTCAACATCAGAGAAGATCTACGAAGAGAAAAAATTACCGCCCGCAAAAATGTGCGGCAGGGCGACACGATTTTCCCAAAACTTTTCACACTGGCACTAGAAGACATATTCAAAAACCTGAGGTGGGAACAAAAGAGTGTGTTTATAGACGGAAAGTCCTTAAACCATTTACGTTTCGCAGACCACATTGTAATTATGAGCCAAGATAAAAACGAACGGTAGGAAATGATAAACGAACTTGGGCAAGCTTCAAAAGATGTTGGCCTGCAGATAAACTTCCAGAAGACCAAAATCCTCTCTCACGGAAATGTCCAAATAACATTAGATAACCACCACTTGGAAACCGTGAGGCAGTACATCTATCTGGGACAAAGTAATATGTTGGACAGGGACAACCAGACAGCCGAAATTACAAGGAGCATCGACTTGGCTTGGACTGCCTTTGCAAGCTAAACCATATTCTCAGAGACCTTAAAATCTCAAGGGGAAGTGTCACGATCAACAGCATTACCGGTCTAAGAATCTGTCAGAGAGCAGTGGAGCGAGCGATGGTCAGTATCAGCCTGAGAGATAGAGTGTGCAATACGGAAATTCGCAGACGCACTGGAGTGTCGGATGTCAACGAATTGCAAGATTGAATTGGCAATGGGCAGGTCAGGTTGCCCGAGTTGATTTGAAACGGTCCAAGAAAATAATGAAGTAGATAGCCAAAGAGACGAAAATGCCACTCCAGGTGACATGGCGGGATGAACTACATCTGCTGACGGGGAAGAACTGGATGCACACCGCTCAAAATAGGTCGACCTGGAAAAAGATGGAAGAGGCCTATGTTTAGCAGTGAACGTCTAGCCTGACGAGGAAGCATAAAAATTTTCAAATAGTAATAATAAGTGATTGTTAATTGTTTTTTGAAAAACCCAACTCACTTAATTATTTTGCTACATTTATTATGCTATTTTAGGTCATTCTACTGACAATGCAACAGCTATTTCTTGTAGCGTTGCTGGTATTACATCTTATAGTTGTTGAATAGGTTTCATACATGCGTTTCTAGCCGGTCACCTTAATCTGCTGAAATCAAAAGTTTCTATGAACTTGTGCACAATATGTGGTCCGTCATTATCATATCTGACCAGGAAACTTCGAATGTTCTTTTCTTCGAAAAAATCACCATGTTTTCGTATGGTATATGGTAGAAACGACCACTTGTTAACAGCCACGGTTCTCATCGAAGAAAGCGTCGAGTACAACAAACCACTTATACCGGGTGTCCCACCGGGAACCGCCGCGATCGATATCTGGCAAACTATAATCAGGAGAAATTTGAAAATTACACAGTATTGCAAAGTCATTTGGGCACAGGCCATCTAAAATATTTTCAAGATGGCCACACTTCAGGTTATACCGGAAGTAGCTATCAACTTGCTTATTTTAAATGGAACACCCAATATATTGCTAGATTTTTAAATTCTACTCCTAATTGTAAAAATTATTCATATATTTTATCCCATACCCAGGTCTCACTGTTTTTGATATATTTGAAATTTTATACAGAAAAATTACAGTTGCAACCACTAGAAAAACTATAATTTTTTCTATGAGGGAATACTTATGTGTTACTTAATTTGAGTCGCATTTCTTGCTGAAAAGGACTTACTTTAATGGAATTTCGACAACATTTTGATAACTATTAATACAAAATGTAAAAAAGTTCTAAAATGACGTTGAGAAAATCGCCCTAAATCAACGTTTTCAATCAGAAACCCCCACTTTTGATAATTTTATCTTATTCACTATTAAAAATGTGGACACGTTTGTGTAAAGTTGTCTATTCCAAAATTGTTTGGTTTTGAAATATTGCCAATTTAAAGTTTTTATATCGCTATTTTGGCTTAATTTCATTTTAAATCCTGCCATTCTTAAGCCCGTGTCCCATGCATCCGTGTTTGTACCATGATACGAAAATGTTTCTATTGTCACTATCTCTATTTATCCATGTCTACCGGAGTTTTAAATAATTACGAAGCAATAGGCATTTACGTAATGATAATTGACCAGGTCACCTTGAAAAACATTGTTGCCGTTTTTCTAATATAGTTTTTTGCAAATTTCTCAGTTTGTAATAACAATTATTCTTTTTACTATTTTTTCTGTACTCCTAAAACACCGCCAGACAACACCTTCAGAGGAATAAGCCCAATTTTGAATCACCCTGTATAAGGCTGAAAATAAATCGAACAAAAACAGTTTATTACAAATTTGGTACTAGTAGTAATAGTTCTNGTAGGCCTTAAAGCACCTTTTCACCATTCTCATCCATCGACCCCCGCCTTTCTACCCCTCCTCTTCACCACCCAGGCGTCCCGTCTCTCCGACGAAGGCAAAGGTCCGTCTCCTCTCTAGGGAACACAGTTCTGTGCAGGAGAGTGTGGAGACCCCAAGCAGGCACCTCCTCATGGACGACCAGTGGTGGCATACTCCTAGAAGGTGATACGATGTTTCCTCTGCCGTTCCACATTGTGGACATACGGGCCTATCACCGATTCGAAGTAGGTGTAGGTACCTGTTCAAACCGCAGTGGCCTGTCATTACCCCAACCAAAGTTTTCCTGTGGGGGACTAGATAATCAGCTCTGTGCTGTATCACTCACGTTAACTGTAACGTACATGTTATCCGTGAAACACGTTAGGTGGCTCCAACTGGTGTGTTGTATCAGTCAAACCGTTATATTATAACAGGCGCACGCTATCGACGAAGAAATAGCGCTTCATAATCAGCCTCAAATCAGATGCCCCTATCGAATTTAACATGCGTCCCTCGAAGTCAAACTCGGAGGAATAAATAAAACAAGTTTGTTTAAACACAGCGTAGTTCTGTGTTTTAGCTATAATTTGTTTTTAATTTACAACAGAAATATGTCTTGTTGTTGGGTTGTTTTTTGGCTCTTCTGTACATGCTCCGTTGAAAGTGTTTAAGAAGATAGGTCAAGTACTATAACGAACGAAATTGAAAGTGAAGGCAAATCATAAACAAAGACATGTATGGTAGTAGGTGGGACAAATATAAAACAAACATGCATATGTTTTAGAAGCTTCGATGGGTTGACGTTAATTCTCTCTCCACCTAATAAACTATTCGTATAAAGACATCTCACTTTACGCATCCCATATGTTTTCCTTTTTAACATTTGTTGGATAACGGATGTTGGATAATGCGTCGGAAATGCATACGTTTCCTCGGAAATAGAGCATACCTCGGCTATGTTGCTGCGTTATCGAAAATGCAATCCTGAACTGTTAAGTTGCCATAACGTGTGGCCGTTAAAAATAGCATTTCTGAGACAGCACAGGGCTGAATGATAATGTAAATACCAGCGAATCAACTGCAGTTATTAAATAATGTTAAGTGTTATAAATAAAATATGTATTTTACATTCAAAAATAATTTATAATAAGTTACATTTTACCTATTCCTGATCCATTTACAAATTCTTAGACTAATAATAATATTGAAATTATAAAATTGTTATTGCATTAAACTAGTTCAATATTTGATGGTTGTTTATAGACTTCGGTCGGGCGTCCCGTAACGCGCAGCTTTTTTCTTTTATTACTTCACAATTTTTATTAAAAAAATTTTTTTATTTTTAATTTGTTATAATAAGATTACTTATTTTATTTTCAGGGGACAGGTGGCTGGTGTCTTGTTTAGGAGTTTTGCATCTTAACAGGGGGTTGTTTTATCGCGTAGTTCCTGCCGATCAGTCATTTGTGGGAGACCAATACTGTGGACTTTTCCGCTTTAGGTAAAATAGTTCTATATATTTGCATATGTTTAAAATACAGAATGTGCTACTCGGAACCACCGCGATAAATAAATGGCAAAATATAGTTAGGAAAAAATTGGCCAGTATATCGAGGTCATTGAGGGCACGCGATCTAAAATAGTCGCGATGGCCACACTTCCGGTTATACCGGAAGTAGACATCAACTTGCTTATTTTAAATGGGCCAACCTATACATTATGACATTTTGAATTCCACTTCAAATTGTAAATGTATTTCAGGTGTAATATCCTATATCTAAGTGTACAGTTTTTAAAATATATTTGATACATTTGAAATTTTATGATTTATGTTATATTTCAGAATTCAAAACCCCAAATTTGATAATTTTAACTTATGTATATACAGTCCACGACACTTGATTACTCTGACCAACAGATTTGAACTCATTTTTGTTAGTAGTCAAAATTTTGATAAGCAAGCCATATGTATCATTGGATACAATGTTTTAATAGTATTCGTCGAACAATTCGTTTCATTCACTCGTACTTCACAGTGGAGACATTGTTAGAAGCAACTATAATAATTGATAGTACGACACTTGATTACTCTCATTCACTTTTTAGAATCGTAGGTCGCTAGGCAAGAAGAAGAATCAAACAGTTGTCTAATAGTAATTTGAGTATATTTGAGTGTCATAAAGGTGATTGGTATTGATACAGGGCGAATTCAAGCTTATCGAGATGAGAATTATTCAAAACGAGAAATTGCAAGAAAAATCGAGCGCAGCTTATGGGTAATCAATTATTATTTAAAAGACGGCAAAAACTACGGAAATAATCGACAAGGACGCACTTCAACTGTTTCTAGGGTAGTAGTCGAAGAATTACATTAGAAGAAATACATTACATCTAGTAGTAGTCGAAGAATTACACGACGTTTCCTTAGAAACATCCTAATCTAATCCATCCATAGTTGCACCCAATTCTTCGCCAACAGCTAGACAAATACGGGATCGAAGTTATGCGTCCATACGCACTATCCCAAGGCTAATAAAGAAATGTCCAAACTTAAAAAGAAGAAAACTACACAAGAAGCCTTTGTTGCTTGTAAATCATCGACAAGGACATTTAGAGTTTTCACGCATTCCCCGTAACTGAACAGAGGAATGAAAAAAGTTGTTTTGACGGATGAAAAGAAGTTTAACCTGGATGGTCCTGATGGTTTTCAATATTACTTGCATGACGTAGGGATGTAAGATACATTTTTGGCTCACCGTCACAGTCGGGCAGGTTCAATAGTGATTTGGGCTGCAATTTCAAGTCAAGGAATAGTTTGCTTCGATTTTCTAGAAGGTCGGTAACTGCTTAAAAGCATATGGAGCTGCTGCAACGGCTAATTGCTAACGTAAAAGCTTTATTTCCAGATCAAGTATGGATACTGCAACAAGACAATGCGCCAATTCACACAGCCCATTCCAAACCTGGTTAACTGCTAATAATATTTCAGTTCTGGATTGCTCTGCTATTTCCCCAGACTTAAAT